CACGGGGTCAATTATTAATCTGTTTTGAATTCTGTTTTCGGCTGAAATGTATTTAATGAACTAATTAACTTCCCGTAGGGTAAGTTATTGTAATGGGCCGAAAATCGGAATTGAAAATTTTTACATTTCTCGACGTTTTGAAGGTTTGTGAACATTTTCACATACCTCAGAAAAAATGGATGTGTGTGTGTATGTATATATAGATACAAATTTCCAGTCACGTTTCCGGGCGAACGGATCAACCGACTTGAATGGTTCAAAAAACATTCGATTCCTATCGGTAGGGAAAAGAGCTGATTAGTTTTTGGAAAAGGCAGGTCCAGCCGTTTCGAGGATACGGAGCAAAGAGTGCAGAAAATAGAAATCGACTTTTTGAGAGAACGGAGTATCCGATTTGAATGATCTAAAAAACATTCAATTAGTAATGATTGGGAGAAGTGTTTATTAGTTTTTGGCAAAGGCAGGCCTAGCCATTTCGAAGATACGGAGCTAAATATGTAAAAAATGGCAGTTTTTGAGAGAACTAAGCGTCCGATTTGAATGATTCAAAGAACTTTCTGCTTGTCTTAACAAAATAATTGATTTTGGAAAAAAAAATTTTGTTCCAATTCTTTTTTTTTTTTTGTATATCGAAAATAATTCAGATTTTATTTTTAATTCTGACTATAGTTCTAATATACTTTAAACAAAATAATTTCAACTCTGCAATTCAGTTTACATATTTCTTATAAATATTAGATAATGTTACAATATTTATAATATTGTAATTTGAAAACATTCAGTATTCCTCGAACATTTCGTTACGGTACGGGAAGTTCCAGCATTTTGCCTTAAGGCACGATGCCACCCACCCCACTAGTTTTTCCTCCAATTGATATAGTTTTTGCCACTAAATGACTAAAATAATTTCATTGAGCAGATAATGCAAAACATGATGCACCATACGAACTGCAACTAATTGAAAACGCATACACGTGCAACTGCATACGGAGTGAACTTTAACGATTGAAAATAATCTAATTGAATCCATTGAAAAAGAGCTGGTAATTACAGATAGATATCATTTTTATCCATTTATATATATATATATATATATATATATATACTAGATGACCCGACAGACGTTGTCCTGTACCCACGTCTACAATTCGTAAGTTCCAATTTTTTTAATATCCTATCCTATACTTTTTAATATCCTATTTGATGTCCTGCATTTGTGATTCATTTATGGTTTAAGCGTAAGCAGTATAAAAAATTCAGAAAAAATAATATAGTATCTGCGTTAAAAGAACAATATCACACTTGATTTTACAACACAACATAATTGCTTCAATAATTTATTCTATAATTTTCATAATCACGTACCATATATTAGTTGCTCTTTGACAATTATAATTTCTAAAGTACGTTTTAATTACTAATAATTTAATACACATTATTGTTTATATTTAAATCTTAGGTAAATTAATTTGTAAAATCTAGTTCATATTTGCACTCTTCAATCTAAGATCAACTTGCTAAATATTCCACATCTAATGCCAAACAAATGAATTTTTCACACGTGAAACAAAACTCTAAATCATTTTTTTAATAAGTAGAAATATTTTTTTTGTATTGTTAAATAATTTAATAAAGTAAACCAAAATGCGACATGCATAAGTTTAAAAAAATAATGTATATGCAATTTTGGACTTGTTGCGTTATTTTTAAACTGAATATATATTGTTTCATCTGCCAAATATATACTGTTGACTGTATCTTATATTATTTTAATTTCTGGTACATCTCAACTGCTTTTCGACAATAATAATGTAGACATTACATTTTTCGTGTATATTATATTCTAATATTATCTAAGCTCATAATTTCAGCTAAATTCAAATTTTTAAGTGAATTGATATTTCTAGCAAATGACAGTTCAAATGTTTTCAATGTCAAATTATGTAAAGTTTTTTTGTACTTTTTGCCATTTATTTCTACAATATTACTATAGTTTTATCGTTCACAAAATCTTAAAAATTTCCTTTGACAAACTCTAAAAAGAATTATCAAAATCCGAATAACTGTTTAGGAGAAGTATCAAATCATTCACCCGTATTATATTTTGCAAAAAGAAATTTTTGGTCGCTTTGCTGTTATCTCGATTTTAATTGTTTCCTCACTCCAAAGGGGCGCCACTAAATGTAGCACGTAAATTAACCCCTGTTTTTAACTCTAGATAAAATTTATATAAATTTCTATTTATATTTACCTTTCCCCGGTCTATAAGAGCCCGATGGCTTGTCTTTAATTAATCAATTTGTTCATTAAATGCTTTTAGTCCGCAAGTACAAAATGTGCGTGACGAAAGTTCATAATGAAATTCATTGACTCCGAGCAATGAAAACCCGATGTACAACATGCAGTAATAATGCCGTTGATTGGCTCAAATTATAAAATATTAAGAAAAAGAAAGTTTTTGTGGGATCAAAAATGGCTAAAAGTAGAGATTGTTATAAAAAAGGTTTACCCACATTTGCTACTAATATCGGTGCTACAGAATCAAAAATTATGTACTGATTTAGAAGACAACATTGCTTTACGTTGATTTTCTTGAACAATTGTAATAATATTTCTTGAAGAATCTGACAAAAGATATGATCTTACACATTAACACCAACATCAACACTAAACCTCCTCTCCCTGGAGTG